TCACGGAGAAGATAACCTCACTGTTTCCCTTAAACTCTGCTCCACCCAAAATGCCAGACTGCACATACTAAGTCCAAACGTAGCCTGCTTTGGTAATAATTGCTAACGGCAGAGAACAGTGCTACATTGCAAAGTGCTTCTCAACTAGGTGAGACATTTGTAGCAAAAAACAGCAAGTCAGACATTTACCCAGGCTTCCATTAACTAGCAAGGGCTGTCAGGAATGCTGGGGAAATGGACTGTTGGTTTAGATCCAGAAATATTTCCCCTTGTTTCTCAACACTTAGAATTTTTCAGGTGACTGTGATATCAGATCCAAATGTTTCTCTGGAGCATAGAAAATGTTTTTTTTTTATATGAAATACTAACACTAAAAATAGAGAAGCCTTCTTTTTGTTTTTGGCTTTCAACTGCTGAAAATTATAACATTTGAAGAGGGAAGAGTGCGTTAAATTGCTATGTTAGCTAAAATCTCCCTGTGCCTGTACAAATGTGTTATATTTACCCCATGAGAGTCTGTGTTTAGTTTTCTTTAAATGGATTTAGAACACAGAGGTGTTTTTCTTACCAGTTTACATAGCTTTGCATCAAATAGTTCTTTTTTTATGCTATTCAGGAGAAATACCTCCTATAATAATTAGGGCATTTACTTTGTTTCACACGTAGGGCGGGCCCCTTGCTGTTTTTTGGTTGTTGTTGTTTGGCAGGGTCTCCACTAGGCTGTCCGCAGCTTGTGAACCTCATGGCTCAGCTTCCCAAGTGCTGGGACTGCAGGTGTGAGCTACCAAACCCTGCTACAGCTCATTGTTCAAAACTGTACCCTTTAACAGTTTCCTTTTTCCCCCTCCCTCCCTCCCTGCCTGCCTCTCTCCCTCCCTGCCTGCCTCCCTCCCTCCCTGCCTGCCTCCCTCCCTCCCTCTCTCTCTCCCTCTCTCCCTCTCTCTCCCTCCCTCTCCCCCCTCCCTAGTTCTGCAGTATCCAGATCAACTCTCCTATAGTTCTCCCCATGCTACCAGCCCCCTATCTCTAAGGATAACCAGCTCTCATTTTATTTTGAGTCTCAGAAAGTTGTTCAGAATGTCCTTGAATTTACTCTGTAGTGCAGGAAGACATTGAACTCCTACCTCAGCATTCCATGTAGTTGGTATTCAGGGCTATACCACCACCTTTTCAGTCCCTATATCTTGATTGTATAAGATTGTGACGGGAAGTTTGCTTACCGTAACTTCAGATGTGTTTAATCTCTTTCTTCCTTTCTTAATTAGGATACATTCCTCTGTCTCATTGAGTAAACACTTGCAAATTGCCAACAAAGATTTCCAGTCAGTCTTAGAAATACTGTCTCCCCACAAATTTCACCTTTAGTGGATACATCCCCTTGGAAATTGTTGGAGAAAGTCACACTGGGATATCCTCACACAGAATTTTTGAAATCAAGAAGTTGGCTGATGAATAAATTTCCTACACAAGGTCTTCCCTCTTAAACTAATTACACGTTCTCTAAAATTTTCAGTATTGAACAAGCACATGTTTTCCCCATGATGGTATATGTTGATAGCTTGATATGACTGTTAAATTGGGACATGAAGGAATGAATTGGCTAAAATAGTTTATGATGAAGTCAAACAACATACATTTGGCTCAAACTGTCAATTAAATGGTGCTCTGGGCAAAAGCCTATCTTCCTCCTATTTGAATCTCCATGGGAGAGAAATTTAGACTTCATAGAAAACAAACTCGACAAGATGTAAAGAGCCAAAGACTTGAGCATTGTGTGATTCATCTTCTCTGCGTAAATGCAGCCAAGCTGGGAACGTGTTTGGAGGCACATTTGAACTTGCTTCAGACAGAGCTGACTCAGGGAAGCGTATGGAGCAGAGCTTGGATGGATTGTAGCACATTTGTTTTTACACACACTGGGGGCTATTATAACGTGTTATTTAGAAAATTAACAGGCACAATAAAACAAAGAAATAAACAGTCTGAATGCCAGAAGTTTAAATGCTTATTATTGTCAGTATTTCCAACAGAATCAAAATGCTGTTTCATGAAAACACTCTTGAGAGTTCTTACTGGATTTTGTTCTGACACAAACCAATCTTTGATGCTTATTAAAACTCAATTTAAGCTATTTAAAAAAGCTAGCATTTTAATGAAAAGCATTCTTTTAAATAATTTCATGCAAAAAAAAGATTACGATTTGAAATAGAGACCTTTTTGGATGTTAGATTGCCTAGGAACCGAGCTAATAATATTTGGGGATATTTTGTATATAGAAGACTATGACGAATCCTTTATATGATAAGCTGCAACTTTATTTTGACAAAGGATTAGAATATCCCTATATTTTTGGAATCCTGCACAAGGAACAGTTAAGAGAAACCCAAATGAAAGATTGGTAGATTCCCTGTCACCTGTTTCAACAATTCAGTAATTAAAGATCAGTGAAAGTCATTTTGTAACCCCCTCCCTCCCAGTCTGTGATTTAAAAATATTACATAGTGTCCCATTCAATCATTTGCTTCCTGACTGCCTTTAATAAACTCACCAGGAAGACACACTCTTGCATGCTGATAATAGCTTGTCTATTTGGTTTTGGGTTTTGGTTTTGGTTCTCTTAGTTGGATGTCAGGTTTTTTGCCATACCAAACCTTCGGCTCATTTGTTTCTCATGAATACCTTAAACATGCTTTCTGCTAGTGTTAGCATTTTCTGAAATGTGTTCTGAAAGTCGACTCCTCCCCCTCTTACATTGCTTCTCTTGCCTAAAATCCTGAAAGTTTTCAGGTTCAGCAATTTCTCTAGCGTTGGCTGTCCTAGATAGATGTTCCTAGGTATGAAATGCCCTCCTCAAATTCAGTTTCATCTCTTTTCTTACTGTGGAAGAAGTTTCTGAAATTACACTTTAGTTTTTTTCTCCTGCTGTGGTTTCCTTGTTGAGAAGCTACTCCCCATGTCACATTCTGATTATCTGCAGGGTTTGCCACTGTCCTTTGAGTCCATTTCACCTGACTTTTACCTTTTAATAATTTATGTGCTTCGATTGTGGGGGAGCGGGGATGAATGTCTTACAGAATGCATTTCATTTCAAGTACTCCCTCGTAACCACTTCTGTATTAGGTCATTTATCTTTCATGTCTAAATTTCATTTTCTCCTGTGTTCTGTCACATCCATTCTGATTTTTCTAATTTAAGCCAGAATTCTGGATTTCAAGTCATTATTTTCTTAATGTCTTTAGACTGTTTAGAAATATAATGTTATGTTTTTGATATGTCCTTAGACACAAGGGGTTGGGAGGGTGTTTGCATTTTCTCTACATACACTCTTTTCCTTTTTGCTCTTTCTTGTTAGATTTATAAGGGATCCCATCTTCATCACTGTGGGGTTAAACCGTGTCTGCCCCCCCCCTTTCCTTACTAACATGGAACTTCACAGAAGCTGCACTTTTATAAATGTAATCAGGTTGTGATTACAAACGGTTCCACAATTTCTTCACTCTTGATGTGAGAATGCGGTATTTTTCAGAAGAAACCAGAAACCCTTTCTGCTCCCGTGATAAAATACAGTGACCAAAGGCAATTTCAGGAAGAGAGAATTATTTCAGCTGATGGTTCCAGAAGTGTAATGGTTCACCATGGTAGGATGGGCATATGGCAACACGCAGCAGGAATGGGAGTAGGCCCAGGAAGTTGAGAGATCGCATCTTTAGTCGCAAGCTGGAAACCTGCCCCCTAGTGTTGAATTTCCCTTGGCAAGGCTGTACCACTTTCCCAAACAGCACTGCTATAGTGGTTTGGTTGAGAAAGGCCCCCCATAGGCTCATATATTTTAGTGTTTGGTTCCAAGTGATGGACTGACGGTTCTGCACGGGTTCGGAGGTGTGGCCTTGTTGGAGGAGGTGTGTGGGTGCGGTGGGCGTTGAGATTTGAAAAGCCTTCCCCAGGCCAGGTCTTGCTCTCTCTTCCTCAAACCTGTGGATAAGATGTAAGCACTCAGCTACTGCTCCAAACACCATCCCTGCCTGCCTCCTGCCAAATCCCCAGCCATGACGGTCATGAACCCATCCTTAGAAGCTATAAACCAGCCCCCAGTCAAATGCTTTCTTTTGTAAGTTGCCTTGATCATGGTGTATATTCTCAGGAATAGAACAGTTACTAAGATGACTCCCAACTGGGAACCTACGGGATACATTTCTCATTCCAACCATCGCAAAGAGCAATGAGAATAAAATTCAGAATTCCATTGGCTGAGGAGACGGCTCAACAGGAAGCTGCTCCATTGAGCCGGATAAACCGGACGGACCTGAGTCTGAATCCTGGGACTCACACAGTGAATGAAAGGAAGAACCGACTCCAGCAGCAAATTGCTTTTTGACCTCCACAGGCATACGTTGACACTTATGCACGTGTGATGCGTTCCGCGCGCCCGCGCACACACACACACACACACACACACACACACACACACACACACACACACACACACACACACACACACACACACACACACACAGAGGCACACAGAGGCACACAGAGGCACACACACAGGCACACAAAATGAATAAATATTATCTAAAAAATTAAATTGTAACGGAAAGGCTCAGGCATTATTCTGGCCTGCCCCTGTTACCTGGCAGAATGCACCAGGCAGCACTCTGGTCGGCCCAGGGTTCCATGAGTACTGGGCCGCACTGGAGGTGTAAAGGACCCCTTTAAAAGACAGACCCCACCCACTTATGCTCTCTTCTTCCTTCTCTTCTCTTACCCTCTTCATCCCTTTCTCGCTCTCTCGACCTGTAGTAAACTCTATGATTAATGTACTCTCTATGGTTCGTATTCCATCGCGCCCGTTCCATCTCGCGCCTTCTAATTTTAACTTAAACAAAAAAACAGCAGTAACTCCTGCTAAACAAATAGATTTTAGATGCTCTTGCCATAAATCACCCAACAATAAAAACGAAACCAAGTGGGGTGGAAAGATGGCTCAGTGAAAAAGAGCACTGACTGATCTTGTACATGACCTGGGTTCAATTCTCAGCAACCCCCAGGACTGCATACGGCGGGCTGTAATGACAGCCCGAGGGGATCTGAAGCCCTCTTCTGGTCTCCATAGATGTTGCATGTACGTGGTGGACAAACATGCAGGCAAGCACCAGAAGTGGCAGTTGCAGGAGACAGGACCACCAAACGGACCCTCGGGCCTTGCGGACTCTCGCGCTTTGCGGTTGGAGAAGACCTTCAAGCAGCGCTGAAGATTCGAACAAAGAGTGGAAGATGTCCAGTTCTTCCGAAAGCGGCACGCCACCAAGATCCCCAGGATAATACGGCCACAGGGGGAGGAAGCAGGGGTGAAAGACAGTTGCCTGTTCTGGACAAAACCAAGTTTCTTGTATCCGACCATATCAACCTGAGAGAGCTCGTCAAGATAATTAGAAGATACCTAGAGCTCAACACTTACCAATTCTTCTTCCTCCTGGTAAACCAACACAGCCATCGAGCATGTCCACGGCTATCTAGGAGCAGTACCAGAGTGAGAAGGATAAAAACGGCTTCCTGGATGTGATGTGGAGACATTCGAGATGACTCTGGCTGTGTAAGACTGGAACGGTGACTGACGTTTAACTCTTACCAAGGGGAAAAAGAGTTATTACCAGTGATCAGAACGCAGGAGCCCATCTAGGGCTATTGGATACTTGTGATCAGCCAGGGACTGAACTCCACGTCAACGTATTCAGCTTAGAAAATCATCTTAATTTGGCTATCTTGTTTTAAGTCTTAAGAAGTCTTAAGTCGACAAGCAAAAACAAAAAATAGATATAAAATAAAGGGGGGGGGGGGGGAAACGTGACAGGATGGATTTAGTAATTTTCTTCACGATACTAGCCGTGTTATTATCTCTATACTTTTATTTCTATCACCTGTCTCTATATATCGGATAGTAGGTTTATACCTTAAAAACATACAAACATTTTAAAAATCTACTTTTCTATGTATACATGTAAATTATTTTTTAAAAACCTGAATTTCTTTAAGATTTATTTTTATCTATATGATGTGTGTGTTTGCCGCATGAATAGGGGTGCCCCAGAGGCCAGAAGACAGTGTTAGCTCCTCTGGAGCTGGAGTTACGGGGGGGTTAAAATGCCTGAGGTGGATGCTCTGGAAGAGAAACCAAGCCCTCCTAAACCGCTCAGCATCTCTCAGGTCCAACAAGTGAGTTTTACAAAGCTGCGTGCACACCGGTCGGCCCCATTTTCCTTTGTTCCAGGAAAATACTGTTTATTCTTTTGAGCCGGTCATTTATTGGCTTCCCTACCTATAAACTGGGTTATTTATATTGCTTCCTCCTATTATTTCCGCTGTGGACTTTTCTCCTGGTGTTCAGACAAGGATGTCTCTGTTCACCTAGTGGCCTTTCTTCAATCCCAACCTGCATATTTGCTTTCTTCCTGTCCCTCACCTTTGATTATTCGCTAGCTACTGTTTCTTGAATTGATATGTGCTAGATCACCGTGTACAGGGTTATGATGGTTAAAATGCTGTTCCAAACTTCGTCTCAGTAATTCATGATTGCCACATTGCATGTTTACTTGGTTTCCTTTGTTCTTTCTAGTAATTTAAGCCAAGGGTATTGCTGAGCACACCCTTGTTCATCAGCGACTCCTTACTCTGGAGAGCCGCTCATCATTTCTGTGCCTGTAGCACATAGTTCAAGACCTGGGAGACGCTGTTAGCATCACTCCAGAATCTCCTTGTCACATCCGAGTCAGACCTTGTTTCCTGCATCCCATCTTTGCCGGTTGACTTTCTAATTTAAGTGACTTACAGCTATAGCAGACATTTCTAGAAGATTAAATATTTAGCCAAGGAACATATGCCTGTAATCTCAGTTTGTAGGAGGCAGTGGCGGGTTGATGAAGAATTTGTAAGTTTGAAGCCACATGGGTTACCTGAAACCTGCCTCAAAGGAGACAAAAGCTTGCCTGACAAGGTGTTCATTTGGGTAAAAAGCTGGCCTGGCCAGGAACTCATTAGGTAAAAACACTTGTTTCTCAGGCCTGACAACTCCAGTTTGACCCCCTAGAACCCATGCAGAAGGAGAGAACTTGCTCTCAAAAGTTACTTTTTATGCATAAAATTTTCATTTTTACTTAATCTTTTTTGACAGTCTCATTCCATATTCTGTGTTGTCCTGAACTCACATGAGTGCAAGGCTGGTCTTGAACTCATGATGATCCACCTGCTTCAGCCTCCTGAATATTGGGATTATGGGTATGAGCCATTACGCCTTGCTTTAAAATGCTTCAACTGTCTTTTAAAATTTTATAAAACATCTGGGCGTTGGTAGCACACACCTTTAGTCCCAGCACTTGGGAAGCAGAGGCAGGCAGATCTCTGTGAGTTTGAGGCCAGCCTGGTCTACAGAGCGAGTTCTAGGACAGCCTCCAAAACAATACAGAGAAACCCTGTCTTGAAAAAAATTTTTTATAAAACTTGCTGGGTGGTGGCAGCACACTATTTTAATCCCAGCACTTGGGAGGCAGAGTAGGCAGATTTCTGTCAGTTTGAGGCCAGCCTGGTCTACAAAGCAAGTTCCAGTACAGTCAGGACTCTGTTAACACAGAGAAACTCTGTCCCCCCCAAATTAAAACTTACCTCCTTCCCTTTCTCTCTCCCTTCCTCCTATCCTCTCCTTCCCTTCTTCCCCATCTCTCTCCTCCTTTTTCACACTTCTTCATTCTGCTTCTTCTGGTTTTTGAGACTGGATCTCAGTTTGTGACCCAGCCTGACTTCAAATTTACTATGTAGCCCAAACTAACTTAGAGTTCCATGTAGTTTAGTTTCTTTGAACATACCATGCTGTGATTCTTATCCACTGTAAGCTCTTAACTAATTCCTTGCACCTGGAAATTCCTAAACATTCATCCTGAGGATTTGTCTGAATTATTCTTTTTTCTTTTTATTAGACAGTATGTGATATAGCCTATCCCAGCTACAAAATTCCTCTCTAACTAAGACCAACTTTGGATCCTGACTTCACCTCACAGATGCTGGGGTTGGAGGTGTGTCCCACGACATTTAGTCTGTTTTTAATTATTCACGGATAGTTTTTCCTCTCTGCTTTGTTTCTTCCATAGGCTCCAGTGATTCACTGTAGCTTACAGGCTGCCCTGTAGTTTTCTTGTCATTCTTCTTACTCTGCTGAAGACCTCGTGAACTGTGACTTCTACTGGGTGTGTTGAGAAATTGTTATGTGTGTGGACACACGTAGCGTTTAGGTGCATGAGCTTGTATGTGCATGTATGGGTGTGGGATACAGGTCAAAGTTGGCTGACATTTTCAATTGCTGTCCAAATCATTAAACACAACTAAGTGGGGCGCTCGCTTGTTTTGTATTGTTGTTTTCCAAACTTGGTTTTTTTTTTTTTTTTTTTTTTTACAGCCTCCCTATTATATAGCTCTGTCTGTCCTGGAACTTGTTACATAGACTGGGCTAACCTCAAATTCACAGAGATTCATCTGCTTCTGCTTCCAGAGTGCTGGAATTGAAGGCATTCCTCATCACTTGTGGCTCCAAACTTAAATTTTTATTTCATCTTAAAAACCAGAGGAGCGTGAAAATGACCCAAATTTCCCAATAGGCCCATCTCCTCCTCCTCCGTCTCCTCCTTTATCACAGTATAGGAGATCGAACCCAGGGTTTTGTGTTCGTTAGTAAGCTCTCTACCATAGAATTGAGTTCCTATCTCTCCCTTTACTTTTCATTTTGACCCAGGGTCTCACTTAGTTGCCCAGGCTGGCCTTGGATTTGCTGGTTTCCTGCTTCAACTCTGGTGGTCCTCAGATCACAGATCTTCCTCACAGGCCTGGCTCCAATTGTCCTTTACTTCCTTCAGAGCCATAAGGAAGCTCTCTCAGCTTTAATTAAAATGAAGAGAGAGAGAGAGAGAGAGAGAGAGAGAGAGAGAGAGAGAGAGAGAGAGAGAGAGAGAGAGAGAGAGAGAGAGAAGTCATTCTGAACTGACTAACACTTGTTTAGATTGTACAGAGCCCCAGGTTCAAATCCTGGTTCTGTGAGACAAAACAAGCTTCTCATCACAAAACAGATGCAGTAATTAAGTAGCATGGGTGTTAGAATTCTTCCTTCCTTCCTTCGTTCCTTCCTTCGTTCCTCCTTCCTTCCTTCCTTCGTTCCTCCTTCCTTCCTTCCTTCCTTCCTTCCTTCCTTCCTTCCTTCCTTCCTTCCTTCCTTCCTTCCTTCCTTCCTTCCTTTCTTTCTTTCTTTCTTTCTTTCTTTCTTTCTTTCTTTCTCTCTTTCTTTCCTTTTGCCTGACCTGTAACTCTCTATTTAGACCAGGTTAACCTCGAACTCACAGAGATCTTCCTGCTTTTATCTCTAGATCCCTGGGTTAATGTTTGCAGATTGATTTTCGTTCCTCTTCTTTTTCTAGAAAATTGATCTGCTCAGTTTGGAACACTCATCATGTCTTCCCCAGAGTCCTGTTGCCTAGCGCTAGAATGGTAAAGAAAGTCAGTTAAGAACTTGTAGCCAAGTTTATTGATATTTTGAGTTTTGGGTTTTTTTTTTCTTTAACTTTTATTTTGTTTGCTCTTGATGGCTTGCTTAGACTGTTTTTTATTTGTTTGTTTGTTTTTGTTTTTCAAGACAGGATTTCTCAGTAACGATGGAGCCAGTCCTGGAATGTGCTATGTAGACCAGGCTGGTCTCAAACTCATAGAGATTTACCTGCCTCTGCCTCCCCAGTGAGTGCAGGGATTAAAAGTGTGAGCCATCACTATCACATGGCTCAGACTTTTTTTTTTAATAGCACCAAGGACCACTAGCCTAGGGATGACAACACAGTGAACTGGACCCTCCCCCATCACACACACACACACACACACACACACACACACACACACACATCAAAAAACAAAACAACAGAAATTTGACCATAGGCTTGTCCACAGGCCAATCTAGTGGCAACATTTTCTCAATTGAAGTTCCTTCTTCCAAAATGAGTCTAGAGTCCAGCTTGTGTCAAGCTGACATAAAACTACCCAACACAATTTGTTTAGAAAATTTGCCAGAATCATTAAACTTTCTCTTTTTAAAATTTGCTGGGATATTGTCGGAAAAGGGGCGTGGGGCATGATTTTAAAATCCCTTTTGTTTGAACAGTGTTTGACTTCGCCTTGGTTTTTTATGTTAAGGATGCCCTCTGATTAGCTGTCTCTTGAGCTTTCCCCATCTCCTATTGAGGAAGCATCAGTCACCTAGGACTAGGACCTACAGAGGTTTAACGCTTTTATACCCTGCCTCTTTGTACCACACCCTGCAGGGGACAGACTCCTATTTCTAATTCCTGAGCCACAGAGCTCCGGCAGTTCCTCAGATGTTTCTTATTTTTGGTTTTCTCAGGTTTGTTAAATCAGTTGCTACTCTTCCATCTGTTTTTTAGCATCACTAAGTCCTCATTTCCCTACAGTTTTGTGATCATATATTTTAAAAATCTTTTTATTATTGCTTTAATGGAGGCTTGGAAGTTAGAAAAATTCGAAACCATGACCACCAAACCCCATCCAAATGGTGATTCTGTGTTTTTTACTTTATGTTGGATCTATTAACTAACACTGCTTTCCATTTCCGTTACAGTATTTCACTTTCTTTCCTGTGTCAAAGTGATTCTGTCTAATTCATCTTTGTTGACAACCCAACCACTGTATTCTCTGCCATCTCATCACCATTATTGAACTGCCAGGACTGCAACCTGTGAGCTAGTCTAATATACAATATATTATCAAATATACATATCGAATATATATTACATACTATTATATATTATTACATATATTAGTCATTTTCACTTGGAGAACTCTGGCTAATACAAGCAAGAACTCTCCAGTGGTACGCCTCTTGAAGTTGGCACCATGGGAGGACCTTTCTGCTGGTGCTGCTGCCTTTGGGTCACCCAAGTTCCTATGTGTAACTCCATAGATTCACCTGAAAACATGTGTGGAGGAGGTGGTAGGGTCAGGAAGGAGCAAGAAATTATGATCTCCATCAATCTATGTCTGCAGTTAGAAAGTGCATTTATTTACTGATGCATCCTGTGAACACAGCTTGACCAGTCCCAAATGTCACCGTATTGATTCTCATTCATTTAAACAGGAGAGCCTGCTCTAATGTTTCGTTCACTGACTTTGGTACCATGTTGAAGTTCAAATTGAAGGACACTTGTGTGGGTTTTCAAATCTTCTGGAAGATTGGAGAGAGCTATATTCCAAAAATCACAGAGCATATTGAGCAACTATTTCCAAGAGCTGACCTCAAGTCCTTGAAGCTGCCGTGCAGCTGAGCACAAACTTGAGAACTTGAGGCAAAATTTCATCACAGCAAAATCCCAGGATATTGGAGTCTGTGTCTCTTGAGACACTGTTATTGCAAAACATTCCTCCACATTCCAAATGTCTATGTTAAAAGCCTAACAAGTATTAAATGATCTGAGCAACCTCACATATGGGAATAGCAAACAAAAAAATCTATGCAAATAGAATTTTTACCAATCCCTTTGTTAAATGATCTGCACTGTCTCTAGGCTGAGTCAGGATATCATATAATCATGTGAGAATTCTGCTAATCAATCATGTGCGATGTCTTGTCAGTTCATTTCAGAGGGAAAGGAAATGTCTATCAATTACATATGAAGTGACCTCATTTGTTCAGATGGGCTCTCATTGTTATAGGAAATAACCAGGAGTATGTGGCTATCCCATAGAGAATTACAAGTGTCAGTATTTTCATAACCTCTGTTGCCATATTACTTCTAAAAATGCCAAGGTGATTAACATTCTGTTTTCATTTGTGAGCCTAGCCTTTAATGGCTGAGCTATCCCTCTAGCCTGGTGATTAACATTTTGGAATGAGCAGAATAACATCACCAGAGATCATACTTTTAGACCATTGGATTTTCCTTGCTTCTAGTGAACAGTGATGCTCAACATAATTGCTCATTCTTTCCAAAGAAATCAAACATTCATTCATTCATTTATCAATTCATTCAACAAATATTCTGTGCCTCTATGTGTTAGAGACTGTTTAGGCACTGAGATGTAGAGAAAACCCGACCTTCATGGGCATTACATTCTGGAGAAGGGGACTGACAGTCAGCAAAAAAACCCAAAAAAACAAAAACAAAAATAAAAACCAAAAAAACTGCTACAATATTACAATAAAGGGATATTAGCTAGGGTCAAATGCTGGGACAATAATATGTAAAGCTAGGAAAGCCTGTGATTTTGGATAAAGTGGTAAGGGAAGCTTGTGCTAAGAAGTGGCTTTTGAGTAAAAAGCAAAGGATTGTTTGCCTTCTGTGGAAAGGATTCCTAAGCAAAGGTCACAGAGGATACCACAGCCCTGAGGTGAGAATGTTTATTGACATTTTTGAGGAAGATGCAGAGGGCTGCCTCACTAGTGTAGAGAGTGGAGCGCAGAGACTCGGGAGAAGTCAATGAGATAAGAAACAGGATCTGGAAAGTCCTTCAGGCCATGGGAAGCTGTTGGCTTCCCTTATGCATATGGAATCCTGAATTCTTCCGTTTTTGCTTTTGATCTTTTCTCTGACAACACAATCAGTTTGGTAGCTGGAAGAGTTACACTCAGAATGGAAGGAGAAGGAAATTGGCCTTCCTTCCTTCCTTCCTTCCTTCCTTCCTTCCTTCCTTCCTTCCTTCCTTCCTTCTGATATTTCTTTTCTTCTCCCTCTCCTCCTCCTCCTCTTCTGGAGTTTTGTTTTTGTTTTGAGATAAGGTCTCACTGTATAACCTAGATTGGTCAAGTGTGACGCTGTTCTGCCTCAGTGACACTGGGATCATAGGCCTATGCCAGTCCACTCTCTACTCCAGGCTTTAAAACTGCTGTGTGTGTGTGTGTGTGTGTGTGTGTGTGTGTGTGTGTATGTGTCTGTATGTGTGCACGTGTGTTTATATGTATGTGTGTGCATGTGTTTGTGTTTTTGTATATGTATGTGTGATTGTGTGTGTATGTGTACAAACACTGGATGATGTGTAGTAGAGCCTGTGCTCATGGAGAAATGAGTTTGCAGTAGACTCAGCAATGCTGGATAAGTTCAGTGAACACGAAACACACAGAGGCAGTGTCTACAACCTGTGTATGGACTTGACATTTCTCTGTCTGTCTCATCGGGGACTATCTAGCATGCATGTCCTGAGACTTTGCTGAGCACCTCCTTCCCCCACTGCCATGCAGACACCTGTGCATGAACTCATGAACTAGCTTGTGTTCACAGCCTGGACTCTGTCATAACCTTGCAACCCAGTGCTGAGTTGGACATTAGACCTCTGGAGAGACAGGTCCCAGTGTGATGCTCAGAAAAAGCAGGGTAGTGGGACAAACACCTTGGCCATACCTCACTGGTTAGGTGGAGGGTTGAATTACTAGAGTTACAGGTTCACTGTTTTTAAAATGCTCACGGACATGAATGTTAAACCTTTTCTGTTCTATCTATTTGCAGGTGTAACATGCAAAAGAAAAATCATCTCTGTAACCTCAGAAAGAATTAGCACTGTTACCAAAGAAATGCAAAGAACAGGCAGAACAGGGTGTGGAGGGTGTGTTTCACACTACTAATAAGGAAAAAATTCAAGAACGAAGAAATGGTACATTAATTGGGCAAGAAAATTAAGTAATATAAATGTTGACTTGAAACATAGATGATTTATCCTTTCTCTAATGGGCATGGCAGGGACGTTTGAACAGGAAATTTAGTTAGTGTGGTAAACAAAATAGGACAACTTCTAGAAATTTTATTAGGAAAAAAAATCATACTTGAGTTTTCGAGTCTCTGGGAAAGACGCTTCATTAACTTTCATAAGGCAAAGACATTGCTGATTGGAAAATAGTTTCATTTATTCTTTTATGAAATATATTTGCATGTTATCTACTATGTGTTAGGAATGTTTCTAGGTGCTAGAAGGAAAATGACAGACAATGTAAAGACTTTGCTCTCATAAAATTTACATTTTTAACAAATTAGTGAATAGCTAAATGAAATACAAATATACTGAACCATATTTCATCAATGTTTGACCAATAAACCTGGGTTGTATACACTATAGCACCTAATTAACTTACAAATCCACACACTAATGTAAGGGTTAGCCCCTGAAGAGCCCACTGGCTGCTTGCTTCAGTAAATAAAACTTTATTGGCCCAGGGTCACTTGCCATTTGTTTATATATTATCAGTGGTCACTTTCGAGCTACCAAGGAAGACATGACTAGCTGTAATGAATACTGTGTGGCCTTTAATGAATACCGTGTTGTCCTTAAAAACCATGTTGCAGCCAGAGGTGAAGAGGAGAGATGGGGGAAGCTAAGTAGGTGGCAAATATGAGCAGAAAATGTCATAACGAGACTAAGGATTTTGTATACTAATTAAAACAATCATTTTTTAAAAAGCGTGCTGCCAGGTGTGGTAGCCTATGCCTGTACCCCGGCACTTGGGAGATGGAAGTGTGAGGGCTGTGAGTTCAAGAGGCCAGCCTGGACCATGGAATAAGATCCTGTTGAGAAAGAAAAGGGACAGAAAAGAGGAAGAGAGGAGTGGGAGAGAGAAGGTAGAGAAAGAACCTAAAGAGATACTGTATAAATAGCTTCATGAAAAATCATATTTCTCTTGTTCTTAAACTACGTGGTTATTTATCTTTCATTAGATATATTTTACCTTTCCCTTCCTTCCTTCCTTCCTCCCTCCCTCCCTCCCTCCTTCTCTTTCTTTCTTTCTTTCCTTCCTTCCTTCCTTCCTTCCTTCCTTCCTTCCTTCTTTCTTTCTTTCTTTCTTTCTTTCGTTCTTTCTTTTTTTGAGACAGGGTCGTGGCATGTATCCCTGTCTGGAGTCAAATTCTCTGTGTATCTCAGACTGGTCTCAAACCCAAGACAATCCTCCTGCCTCAGCTTTTCCAGTGTGGGAATTACAGATGTGAATCAGTATACTCAGTTCACTTGGTAGTTTTAATAAATTTTAGTGAAAGCCATTTCTTTCTGTTTGTGGTTTTGGGGGTCAGGATCTCTGGCACACCAGGTGAGTGTACCTTTGTACTACACCTCCAGGTCCAATGTTTTGAGAACAGAAGCTGAACATACCCCTAGTGAAGAGCCAGTGCGTTGGATGCCTGTCTCTCTGCTCACTGACACCCATGATGGACCCCCTTCCCCACTGGCTTCCCGGGTATTGACTGTGTTCCTCCTTTGAGTATCCTTCTTATGTCTATTGTTGCTGCCTGTTGCACAATATGGTTGTCTTCCACTGCTCATATTTACTTTCTTTTCATCTTCTGTCCGGCTTATTTTCCTCACCTCCCCGTATTATATTACACAAACGAGGAAGATGCTGTGTCAGTCTGTTTAGAGGGCCATAGTATGGATTCCACTGGGTTAGTTGCGTCTGTATTGCTGCGATAAAACACTAGAGCCAGAGGAACTTACAGAAGGAGGAATTTGCTTGGATTTACAGGGTTCAGAGGGACCAGAGTCTCTCCTGATGGAGAAGCATGGCAGCAGTCAGCAGACGTGATGGCTGGAGTGACAACAGGAAGCAGAAAGGGCAAGCTAGGAAGGACAAGCGACTGTCCCCAGTGACACACTGCCTTCAGCGAGACCACACCTCTTAAGTCAAGCATCACTGGCAACTGGCTACCACATATTCAAATGACAGAGCCTATGAGGGACATTCTCATTTAAATTACTACACCGATATACAGGGTCTTGTAGGACAGAGACTAAGCCCGACTCTGAATCCAACAAGGGTCAGCAGGTATTTATAGTGAAAGAATCAGGCAGAAATCTGTGTGCACACAGTTACTAAAGGGAACATTGAGGATAAAGTATAAGTACAGACGTGACAGGGTCACCAGTGACGTCAGTCCAGAGTGGTAAGACACCAGGAGTAGTCAAAGACTTACACTGAACTCTCTGCAGGATTTCTACCTTCACTGGTCATAAGGATGGAAATTTCATAGTCACTCTAGTCAAAATGGAATCAGAAGAGGAACCATATATCTGGTACAGAGAAAAATCACCCTCAATAGCAAATAGCACTTTATAGTATTTAAGAACAATTAATAAAACAGTAACGTTTCTATATGCTTCTGTCCTTTTCTGTTTTACTCAGTGAACTTCTGACCTCTTTTTCACTCTTTTTGGTCCTTTTTATTCATCATGAGATAGTCACTCATGATCGCAGCATTTCCTTTCATTCCCATATAATAGTTCTAGCACCCATCATTTTGGTGATACCACATAAATGTTTCCAGTCTGTGATTAGGGAATAAAGGGTGGGAGGAAGCTCTTCTAAGATTACCAAAGCCTTGTTTGTCATCTGCCTGACTCGGCAAACTTTCAATCCACATTGGAAGCCACTTAATCCCTATCTGTACATTCAGCTCAAACTCCCAGACCAATCTCCCACAAATAGTAGGAATTTGGGAAAATTTGACCAA